AATCGTAAGTTTTCTGGTAGTTCCCACGGTCCGCCGAACCCGGATCGACAGATCGACTACGCTTTATGCTCTTCTGCCGGTTTCCATCGCGGCCTGCGCATAGCCTACACGAGTGTTTGTAATTGAATGAACCAACGTAACGATGTATCTCACCTCGTTGCCTCACGTCATCCGGACGTATTAGGACTGGCCGAAACCTGGTTAAATCCTGTGGTCACTACCCAGGAAGTCCAGACCAGGGACTACTCGTGTTTCCGATGCGACAGTCTATCAAACGATCGGGGCGGCGTGCTGTTATACGTTCAGTATTCGCTGTGCGGGAGACTGGTACACACCTACCGTAGCGAAGATGGCTCGTGCGAACAGCTATGGTGCTCGATCCGCCTGAGATAGGGTGAACTGTTTGTGGTTGCTGCTTATCGCAGCCCGCGAAGTCGATGCCTGGATTGGTTGTCGCATGCCAGCAACTACATGAGTCGGCCCGCTTCCTGCTTATGGGTGATTTTAACTCCCCTCGAATACGGTGGCCTGTGGTTCAATTTCTCTCCGCGCACCGTGAAGTCGAGGCGCAATTTGCGGAGATAGTATTTGAAACTGGGGCAGCACAACATGTCTACCAACCGACGCGCGTTACACTGCATTCCGCTCCATCGTGCCTGGACCTACTACTAACGAGTTGTGAGCAACGTGTACATGAAATTCAGGTCATGGAACCTGTGGCAGCTAGTGACCACTCGATGGTGTTATCCAGCCTAGAGCTGCCGCTGCCCTACTCGCGTCTGCCGAAACCTTCCTACATTTATTAGAAGACCGATTTCAGTGGTCTAAATCGAGCCGCCAGTGAAGTGGACTGGTTGCTGCCGCAGGATTCATCTGTTGAAGCCTGTTGGTCTGTTATAAAAGAGAGTGTGCAATTGTTGTGCACTCGTTTCATACCCCTCAAGTATCGGAAAGCTGGACCAGTGAAGCCACGTTGGTTCAGCAGAGGATATAGTCAATTAAATCGACGGCAATGCGAATTGTGGAATAAACTCCTCGTCTCTGGCTCTACCGACGATTATGAGGCATGCAAAAGGCAGTAGAATCGATGCAAACGCGCAAAAGCGTCGGCAGTTCGAAGAGAGACTTGCAACCTTAACGAAGACGGCCCTCAAGAAGATTTTTGCTTAAGTGAAGCGGTACCTGAGGCCAACAAGTGACGTAGCTGTGTTAAAGGGCACTAACGGACAGTCTCTGGCCTCCAGCACTGAACGTGCGTCCGCATTGGCGGAGCACTTCGCTTCCGTATATACAAGTGGGCATGCACCTATGCTGAGCTCGATGTGTGCAGCCCCTACTGAACTCGAGGGCCTTGATTGCGGTGTAGAAGATGTCCGCAGTTTACTCGCCGGTCTTGATGGCACAAAACCTGCCGGATCCGGTTTACTTCATCCGCTAATTTTGTAGTCCTTATCGGCTATCATCTCGCCTACCGTGACGGATCTGTTCGACAGACCTCCTGTCCGAGCGTGCATTTCCGAGCGACTGGACATGCTCGATAGTTAAGCTGATCCCAAAAGGTGGTGACCCACGCAATGTGGACAGTTACCGGCCGATTTGTCTCACCTCTGTTTTGGCGAAGGGGCTCGAGAAGATTGTGTAAAAAGGTCTTCTCCAGCTGCTGGAGTCGAAAGATCTCCTAACGCCGGCACAGCACGGCTCCATGAAGGGCCGCTTGTGTATCACCAACCTGCTGTTGACTTGGCAGGTGTGGTTGCAAGCGTTAAATCGGGGAAGTCAGTGGATGTTATTTACATTGATTACAGTAAAGCTTTCGATCAAGTAAACCATGAGGTCCTGCTCCACAAGCTGAGGATTTGTGGTGTCGGTGGTGCACTGCACCAGTGGATCAGTGACTTCCTTATGGGGAGAAGCTGGCGGGTTCAGGATGACCACCTAACGGAATGGTACCCCTCCACTAGCGGCGTATCCCAAGGCACAATACTGGGGCCCATTTTATCCCTTATCCACATCAACGAAGTACGTCAGTTTCTTCGGTCGTCCTGCATATTATTTGCGGATGACCTGAACATTTGGAGGATTATGGACTCTCCTGGTGACTGTGATGTTCTTCAGCAGGACCTCGACTGCCTATGCTGGTGGTCTGCAGAAGTTGACACAGCCAAGTTCTCGTTTAAGAGCCTGGGGAGGGGTAGTAATGGGCTTGCGTACACCCTGGCCGGTCAGCCGCTGCATCCCACCAGCTCCGTAGAGGATCTAGGCGTACACTCACGCTGTGATCTGAAGTCTGTCGACAACACAAACAGACTGTACGTAAACGGGCTACGTCTGCTTCAGGCACTTAGACGCAGCTTCTGCACTTGGTCTGAAGAGATTGCTACCTGTCTGTTCTCTTCCATAATAAGACCAGTGTATGAGTACGGCTCATCCGCCTGTCGCGCGATCACAATAGGTGAGGTGCAGAGACTGGAACGGGTCCAGCATGTAGCTACCCGGCTCATCTGCACTTTACGGGTTATGTTATACAAAGACCGATGTAGGAGACTAGGGCTTTATGCCTCGTCATATCGTCGGCTTCGAGTTAATCTCATTATGGCGCACTGGATACTGCACCTGGGCCACTTCCTTATGTTGAAGCCGCTGCTGCACGTTCGCGCACCAAGCAGCACACGCGGACACTGGTACAAACTAGTGGTACCGAATTTAAAGCACATCGCTCACCCTCTATACTTCGAGCGTCGAGTGATAAAGTTTTGGAACAATTTGCCGGAGACGCTAATCGATGCAAAATCGGTGTCGGAATTTAAGAGATTCATTGACGCCCACTTTGCGGACTTCAGGTATAGGGAGCGTATCGACCTGGATAAGATGTAGTGCGTCTGCAATACGATACCACCGCTCAGGAATCAGCAATGTGATTTCGCGCATGTGCCCGATCCACTTACGATGGAGCAGCACAGGTTTTTATCTTCTCGCTCTTTATCCTCAGTATTCAGTATTCTAACCTCCGATTTGGAGACTGAGTTTGTCCGGCCTCTAACCCTTGACCAGTCTGGCACGAGTGGCTCCGAAGGTGCAAAAAGCATCACCCAGCATGACCCAGTGGGTCGCTGAGGCACGCAGACCGTCGCGCCACATTAAAGTGCATATCTTATGGCCGTCAGCAGACAATGCGACGGTACGCTAAGTTCCTCAGGCAGATTGTGAACATAACGGCCCTAGTACTGGGACCTGTGAACAGCTGTTAACACCAGTTAGCAGCAATTTATTCATGCAGAAACCTTTCAGGCACCAAAGCGTTACTAGTCTAGAGTCATCTCTAGTTTGCGGCGACAGTGCTGGAATAGGCGAAAACACTAATGGAGAAAGTGCAAGGAGATTCACAGTTTTATGCAGTAGTAGTATGCAAAGTCCACCGATCGTGAGATGCGAGGCAACAGACAGTGGAAAAGCACCCCCATCTAAATGGATAAGCGATGTATTGTTTCAGAAGGTCGCTGCTACTCAGAAACTAGCCCAGGCGGTGACACGTAAGGGGCGTACCAAATACTAGAATACGGATAACAGTAAGAGCGGCCGGATCTAGCGTGTATTGATAAGATCTACAAGGAATAGAGAGCAAGCAAAAGCAGTGGCAGCGTAGCAGTGCGACTCACCGCGCGAGATCAAGTGAATGGGATGTGCCAGTAAAACAACTGGGCGATCAGAAGGTACAAATAAAAATAGAATCCAGTGTCGCAAAATGCTGAAAGCGTAAATGCTTTCTGTTCACTAGAGTGGTCTTCTAGCTGACCGAGTAAGTTAAGCTTCTGATAGTGTCAGGTTGGAATAAATGTTCGGAGTCGCGTTGCAAGTGGAGTGGGAACAGCCATCATAGAAAGGGAACACGTGCGGTTCGCTGGACCTAGTATCCTCGGTTATGTATGATTTGTGTGTGGACTAAACTGCATCATCAGTGGCCCGTCCGTGCGGGTTCGTCAGACTATAAAAAATTGACCAGTCCAGAACAAAGGCCGGTAGGACATTTTCTCCACTACTGGCTCGATGGTGCACTTGGAAGGTATCGCTCTCCCCAAGGCATCCCAGTCCATGGCCAAAGCGATCTTCGTACCATAGAGAATTCCGGGCATAGTTGTTGGAAAGACGTATCCAACCGCTCGTGGGCCAGACCAGCCGTTGTCAGCAGCTGTAAAGTGGTGAATCGCGATCACTTGGAGCCAAGGTGATCGGGCCTGAGGCTTCGGGCACTTGGGCCAGAAGACGCCGCGGTTTTCCAAGTGACTTGGGTTCTGCAATGTAGAATTCAGGGAAGGTAGGATGTAGCCGGGACAGGCGGCGTGATGCTGTATTGAACATCGAGATAAGTATACAAAGAAAGGAGAACTACACTTCGGTTTTTCAAGTTTTTGTGGGTTTTATTGTTTTTTGTTAAACATTTGTTAAACATTGTTAAACATTGGTGGACGAAACACGCGATTAACGTGAGAAGTGAAAAACTCGTTGGGGACTATAGCCGACGTTAACAAAATCTGAAAAGCTAACCGGTTGTTTGACCTGTCTAACGCATCGATCATTTATTTGGTGTTGGCGCTAGGTTGGCTGACGGTCAAAAGTAACAAAGAAGTCTGGGGTGCATAATGCGCATGATGCACGTGGGTTTACCTGTGCGGCGATACAAGGTGAAGTTGGAGACGGATCTTCGAAGAATGCAGCCTCGTTCCTTGACTGTGCTGGCCTAAGGTAAAGTGCTTCGCAGTTGGTTGGTGAACACTGATGGGGCCGGTGTAAGCAAGCTGAATAGGACAGTGTACTGCGTCTGCGTGAACGAAAACGTGGACGCAAGTAGAGTCCACTACATTTGCACATCTCTGTTCTGCTCACGAGGATTGGTCAGGCACAGCAATCGCATGCATGTGGCATACACGATGGCGAGTGGGGTGAAATAACTTATCTTGCCTTATTTAATTGCTGTATCGTAGACCAACTCTGCTGGTGCACACTGCAGGTCAGCTTTGGTATTGTTGCGCATACCTAGTAGTACCAGCGAAATGTTTTCGCTCTAGTCAGGGTCGAATTTGGCACAGAGAGATGACTTAAGCGGTCGATGGAAGCGTTCGACTTGGCCTTTAGCTGCAGCGTGATATGCCGTCGGGTGAATACGACGACAGTCTACGAAGTTGCGGTACGTATCGGATTGCGAAAGTTTGATAGGCATTCCACGGTCGGTCGTGATGACGTTTGAGCATCCGCAGTGAGACACCTGTGGTGATGACTGAAACCTGGGGCGAAGGGAATCGTCTGCCTCAGTGTGATCGATCGAATGGGCGGGTGAGTTTTTAAAATCACAGCTAGTTGGACACTACCTCAGTTTTGTGAATAGAACGCTTGTGTGCAGAACCGGTGTGAGTTCTTTCTCTTGAGGCGGCTGGGCGAACCAGGCACGCAACGTGGTGACAGAGGAAAAGAAGGACCTTATGAGCAATCAGCAGCTTTGCTTTGACTGGCGGCCATTTGTAGCGATGTCGACTCCATTAAAGATGACGAAGGGTTCGTTGCCCGGAAACGCGTCTGTGGAGAGCGAAGTGGATGAACTTCGCGACACTGATCGAGTTGGATGAATATCCTATGCCATATCAGTTAGCCATGTGCAGGTACACCATCGGCCATGACGCGATGCGGATACTAGACGCCTGGAATTTCTGCAATCACGACCAAGAACCGGATCTTTCAGGAAAGCTTGAGAGATTTAATGAATATTGTGAAGGCCGGTTAAACAATTTCCTCCGTGGTTGTCAATCGACTAACTTTAGGTCACTGGATAGTCTGTCAGCAAGAAGCGCAAAAGACTGGTAAATAACAAGTGGGATCATGACGAGGAGGGATGTACTAATGCAAAACTGGAGATTTAAAGACGACTAGTTCAACCGCAAGCTGACACTGGAGCCACCGTACAATTGCAACCCGAAAAAATTTCACTAATCGTATGCAAGACCGTCTTCGAAAGCGCGTCACAAACACGAACCTAGGTAGCCTCATACTCTAGCATCTGGAGATGAAATATTGTCTAAACAGATACCTAGAGTTGAAGGACGTCGGAAGAGAAGAGCAGCTGAGGGTCGGAAAAGAAGAAAACTATCGAATGCAGCTGAAAAGGCGATGCGGTGAATAGGCTCTGCACTTGGACGCGAAGCCGGATCAACGGAATAAGCCAAATAATATCGCAGCGCAGGTTCGAAAGCTCTGCAGCAGCGGAAGGCAATACGGAACCTGCAACATCAAAACAAGGAAAAAAGAAAAAGGAAATGATGTGATGATGGCTGAAACCTGGGGCGAAGGGAATCGTCTGCCTCAGTGTGATCGATCAGACGATCGATCGAGTAGACAGGTGAGCTTTTAAAATCACAGCTAGTTGGACGTTACCTCAGACTTGTGAATAGAACGCTTGTGTGCAGAGCCGGTGTGAGTTCTTTCTCTTGACGCGGTTTGGAGAATCAGGCACGCAACAACACCCAACGGACGGCGGTTTTGACCGTGCAGTCTGGTACAGGATTGGCTTCCGGCCATCTAGTGAAGCGTTCGACAATTATCATTATGTTTACGAATCCGCGAGAAGACGATAGGGTCCTACCAGGTCTAAGGGTACGTGTGAGAATCGCGAATCCGGAGCAGAGAATGAGCTGAGAGGACTACGGGTGTGCCGATGTACCTAGGAGCGCTGGCAGTGGAGGCAAGCTCAGACCCAGTTAAGAACATTTTTGTCTACGCTTGGTTAGATGAAACCTTCGGTGATCAGATTTAATGATACGCGAATACTAGGCTATGCGTCTGAACGAGACGGACATGAGGAGTCTAGGACAACCTGTGGATGTGTCACGAAGATTATTCATCTGTGGTTTGGAGAGAAACGAGTTGCACATGCACTGAAGTGGACTTCAGGGTGTGTTGGAGGTCTTTGTTTTAGGCCTCGGCCGATGCCATTTCGGCAAGGTCGACAGTAGGCAGAGAGAAGATTGAGATTGACGCGAAAGAAAGCATCAGCGACGGGGTTGACGACACCTGAGACATAACGTATTTCAGCAGTGGATTGCGTGACAACATCTAGGTGTCTGGTTTTCTGTGGTGAAAATTTGTCAGATGATGAGTTAAATGCAAAAATGCGAGGCTTGTGATCAGTTTAGACCGTGAAAGCCCCGACGAATAGTTATGCAAATGGCAAGCAGATAGAAAAATGTACTCCAAAATGACGCGCAATAGATGGCAAGCAGTTCTCTACCAAACGTGCTGTAGCGGGATTCCGCTGGTTGCAGGCGTTTGGGGAAAAAATGAAGTGGTTGCCATCACCCACCAACTTGTTGTTGAAGGACAACTTCTACTGCAACGTCTAAAGTGCCGGATGTCAGAGAAAGAGGAGCAGACGATTCGGAGTGAGCGAGGAGAGCTATGTTGAAGATAACATCATTGAGCTCAATGAAAATCGCGTGTGCTGTGTCGGGGAAAGCAAACTTACGTTCTTTTCCTTTGATGGGGTCATTCAGCGGCTGCATTAGCTGCGCGCAGCGAGGGATGGGGCGTCAATAGTAGTTGACTAGATCACAAAAATCGATTGAGGTGCTTGAATGAACTTATGGCTGGGAAGTTTTTGATAGCCCAGACTTGGCCATGGGATTCTACGATTGACTCGCCGGACTCGCACTTAGTCGGTATTGCGGTGACGTGTTGGATCAACTGCTGGAAGAGTGCTTGATGATGAGCTAAGTGCTCTTCCTCGGAAGAACTGGCTACCAGGATGTCATCGAGGTAGAGGTAAGCAAAGTCTAGGCGACGAATGACGTGGGTGGCGCGTTGGAAGGTTTGTGGCGTTGCGGAATCCGAAGGACATTCTCAAAAACTTGGACAAGCCGAAGAGACTGCTGACGGCTATTTTAGGTGTCTTTTTTCAACAGGTATTTGTGATAGGCACGAACAAGATCAATCTTGGTGAAGACCGTCTTACCTGTGGGTCAAGCATTGAGGTCCTGTATATGTGGGATGGGGTACTTGTCGGAAACCGTGCCCGGTAGTCACCGCAAGGACGCCAGTATCCAGATTTCTTTGGGCCCATTTGGAGCGGAGATGACCTAGAGTTGTCTAGAGGATTGATTATCCCAAGTTCGAGCATGTGCTCAAACAGCGGCCTAGCTAGCGTCAGTTTTTTCTGCGAAAGCTGGCATGGGCGTGATGAGACGAGTGAGCCATTACTCCGGATATGATGCGTGACTTGAGATGCCATGGGAAGAGCTGCATTCATTGACTGAACAAGCTTACGGTAATAAGAGAAATGGTCGGCATAGTCGAGAGAGGTCTGTGGGAAAACTTAAACTTGGGTGATAGCTGAGCTGTCGGGGACGCTGAGCGTCGTTAAGGGGTCTACTATCCTCTGTTATTCTGCATCGATCAAGAGGTGGAAATATCTGATGAGGTCTATGCCGATGATGTAAACGGAGCGGCGACAATAGTGAACATTCCAGCGACAAACTTTACGGAACAGTGGCCGTAGCTAGAAATGATTGTGCTGTTGGCGGCATGAATGCTGAGAGTTACCAGCTGAGTCGGGAAAAATCACGCTTACTTCATCCCCGGTATTAACCAGGAGCGCGATTCCAGATTTGCAGTCCTGAACGTAAAGGAGGCTACTACTGGAGCTGGGGCGAGTGACGTTATTGGTACGTGATTTGCGGTTTGGAGATTTCCCCGATTGTGTTGTGGGTAAGCTGCAAAGCGTAGTACATCGCCTCGCCTGATGGCCAAAGCGTCGGTGATGCCAGCATTATTTGTTGCGTGTTAAGCTGCTGCTCTTGGAATGCTTGCTCTTAATCACCAGGGAGTTGTCGAGATCACTGTGTTATGTCTCACTTCATCGAGTACTACAGTAAGCCCAGAGGGCTTTGAAGTAAAAGCTTTATGGTGTCTGCACGAAGAAGATGGCCGCTGAGACGCATTAGAACTATTCGGCGAATGTGGAGCAAGTCGCGTTGCGCAGTCTACTTGTTCAGACAAATGATCCATGATCGCATCAGCCAGTTATGCGGCTAGAGTGAGGAAACTGACATTGGTGGACATGACGATAATATCGGCTATTTAATGTAGGTGATATAACCAGAGTTCTAGAAAGATGGAGTCGTCCATTGTTGTCGAGCCGAGGAGTCTATTCATCTCACACAGTAGAGTGTATTTTCTCTTATCACCTGGACGCAAGCCGTATCCTCGGTTGGTGTCCCGGTTAGTGTTCTACGCTGACCCTTGGTGGGGATCTGCTAGAAGTCGTTCAAAAATTCAACTACCTAGGAAGTTGTATCAGCGCCCGTGGGATTGAAGATGAGATCACGAATCGTACAGCAAAAGCTCGCGGCGCTTTTGCTAACCTTCGCCACTTATGGCGCCGGCGCGACATCACTTTTGCCCTGAAGGGTAGGGCGTACAATGCAGCGGTACGTTCGACTCTACTGTACGGTTGTGAAACCTGGCCGCTTAAAGCAGCGACCACCGGTGCCTTCGTAATTTAGCTCACATCTGGTGGGAACACCGCGTGAGCAACGAGCGTGTTCGACGCCTTGTTTACGGCACAGGAAAAGGAACTGAACCGCTCAGTAATGTTATTTCACGCACCAGGCTCCGATGGCTCGGCTACGTGTTACGCATGCCAGCCCACCGACTCCCGCGACGCGCTGTTTTGCGCGCCGTAGGTGTGAATGTAAAAGATGAGGGTGGCGAAACGATGACTTAGTGAGAGGAATGAAGGACTTCACTTCGAGCTTGGCCCTCGGTGGAGCGTCTCGGCTCGCTGGTTGGGTCCGAAGACGATGAACACGTTTGGTTGGACACATTTGCTTATATGGCTAGGAGTCGATCTCAGTGGCGTTCGTGCTGTGAGTTTCTTTGTCCTACTCCATCCGGCTTGAATGCCGTAGAAATTTCTTTTCTCTCCGCGTGTATGAGCCTTGGAATGCCCTCCCTAATTATGTCGTCTCTGCTCCCAATCTGGCGATATTTAAAAAACGTGTTGACGATGAGTTGTCTCACTTACATTTCCTTTTATGACTTGTTAGCCAGGGGCTACAAAACGCAATCAAACGGTTTCTTGCCAAACGCTCAACCATTGGATTTATGGATTTTTATGTTTAATACGCGAACATCTCCGCTATTTCACATAAGTCTATGGTGAGTCCACCACAACGCTTTTCACTTTATTATGCAATTTATTTTCGCAATAATTTCCATCCA